CTGCAACTATAACCATATACGAACTCTTCTCGAAATATAATACATAAAGTGCAATCGTCTGTGTTGGTGTGTTTTATTTTATAGCGCTCGCTATGAGTTTTTCAAGTCCTCGGGAAAATATTAGAGCATTTAATTTATCGTTTTAGTGTTGCCCGAGCAGTATTATTATTATTATTATTATTATTATTATTATTATTATTATTATTATAGGTGTTAGTGTGTTACGGGCCGCGCAGCAACGGGTCCCGCGTACCTAAATATATTTGCCCGACGACTTATTATTTTCGTTTCGCGTATAATAAGATTTAGATTTTTTTCCTCCGTTATTACCATTATAATATTATTTAGGACAGGTATTACCCGCGTATCGGAGGTCGTTTTGTTTGGTTTAGTTTTGTTTTGTTTTTCTCTCCTCGCCCTATGCCACGCGGGTTAAGCACACCACACGCCTGAGTTATGTGCTCGCCCCGTCCGACTATCTCGCGGAGGTATTTTTTCCCGACCGCAATTTATTTGGCACGTCCGCGGCTATACGCGACCAATGAATCTTAACGCGCCGCCAACACCTCCACTTCCGGCCGTAAAACGGAATTTACAATTTCTGCGCGACACGCGGAGATGCGGTTTCGGAAATTTATACGCCGACGACGGGAAAATTGGTAAGGTTTTTTCTATACATACACCTATATTGTAGTAAGTGCGCGTTAGATCATCATGGTGGCTATATACAGGTATGGGTAATAATAATATGGGGGTGAGTGGGTGTGGCCGTCTGTAACGACGAGACGGAGTGAGTGAAAAATAAAACAGGAAAAAACGTTCCACCCACCTACTCGGCGTATGAAATAAAAACGCTTTAAGACCAATTTCTTCTTTCGGCAGATCAAACGCACCCTTATTGTTGGCGATCCGCCGCCCGAGCACCCCTGTGCGTTCGGCGATAGGGTTGTCGCCCGGAGAGTTTAATCATATGCGTGGGCGTCGTCTTCCCAACGTCTAGTGGCGTTTTTTTTTTCCTCCCTCTCTCTTTAAACGTCAACCGTCGCTAGGAGGTGGGGGAGTGAATTAAAATTTCACGACCTTAACCGTAGCCGGTAGACTAGTTCAGTTTTGAGCATGGACCAGTGGATCACGTATCAATATCCCGACGGGTACAGCTACTACACCAATAACAATAATTGCAATTACAACAATTACGGTTACGACTATAACCATGCCGGAAACTACCGGTATCCCGAGGTAAAAAACACACACCAGCACACAAACGCACTCGCTCGCAGACATTATTATTTATTGTCAATACATATTATTGTATTTTGTATTAGGCGCTACAGTAATAGCTATTATTATTATTATTATTATTATTATTATTATTATTCGTAGATCGATTACGCTAAAATTGTATATTAGAACACGACATTTCGCTTTAGTTATTAAGACTTGGACATATTCTGTACCGACGTAATACCATTGTGTTATAATTTATTATTATTATTGTTATTATTATGAAAACACTGAAAGCAATAAACTCATATATTTAGTATATAATAACGTATTATTTAAAATGTGGCCGAACACTGTTTAAAATTTCATAGTTATTTTTAAAATGTTGTGCTTATTATTTTTCTTCTTTGCGTATACAATAATAGTTACCGTTCACAACGATAGAGCGATTTATAATTAATTCCATTATATTTATCAGATTTATGTTTTTTTTTTTTTTTTATTGGGGAACACATTTGTTTCACGAAATAGCTATGTAAAAAAATAAAAATAAATTCAGGTAGATTACCTCCATGAACATATTATTTTATACTGCCATATGGTCATTATACAAATGTGTTTACTGAAACGGTATTGTCATTTGTTTTGTTTTTGTATTGTATTGCTACACGAGTGGGTATAATAGTATACGAGTAATGTAATGATGGATTATTATTAGACTTTTCGTCCTCAGTGTAATGAGTATTTATTTTTTCCGTTAAACCAAATAATATATCCAAGTATAGTAATAATTTCAAATCGATTGGAATATTTTGGACCATTGTAATGGTTTTAATTTGGATAATAATAGCTTATTGCCATCTAGTTGGTCAATTCGAATGTGGAATTATTACAAAACGGTTTCCTATATTAATATATTATTTAAACGTATCGCTCAAAAAACACCATTATTGTTTTTGCCTTAAAATTATTTATGTTTTTAAGAATTTAAACTATAAAACTAACAACGGTGAAATTTAAATTTGTTTTTTATCAAAGTTTGGAATATTATATAAATTATTTTCTTTACAAAAATATATTATTTCCTTTTGAATAAAATATTTCACAGCGGTTTCAACTGTGTACCTATCTCGTAATAAGAAAATAACAGTTCGTTTAGAAGACAAGTCCAACCTAACAAATCAAATTTCAAGTGTAATTTTTCGTCGTATCAAAATTTTGAAAAGTTTCTCCGGCGAAAGTTTCATTCGAACGTAACAAGGCTACGTCCAATTACTGCGTAACCTTACCATAATACACTTAACTTTTTTTAAATTGCCAAAATGAAACTGCACATTTTATCAGAAAATATTGACCTTTAGATTCCACCGAAACGCTTTTCTGCTTTATAAAAACGTATTATTATTATTATCTTGGTACTGTATTTTTTACTCGGCATTTTAACATAACGTCGAAAGTACAGTACTTTTTGCTAAGCAATTTATTATGTATGTACGCAATGTATTATTTATTTATTTAAACCGTTCGATCTTAGTTTATAATAATAATAAAGAAATTATAATAAATATTACTATTATTTCATCACCATTTGGTATATTATTTATAATTTATTATGCGTCGGGAAGACACAAATTAGTGGCTTTATTTTCAGTTAACATTTAACGGATTTTATGTTTTTATATTTGCTCATAAATTATTACTATCGACATGCAAAACGAGTCTGTCAAACCGAAACGACATCAATAAGCATAATATTATTGTTATTATTATACACAGCTAATCAAGACGTACATATAATAAAGCTTCGATGTATTTTATTCGACAGATATACAAAGATAACATTTTATGTATTATTATATTTTTCGCTATAAAGCCAAACTTATCAATCGAACAAACCGTAATAAATACAAAAACAAAAAATTCACCGCGATCGTTGTTATTGTCGTATCCGACACGACTCGGCAACCGACACGATATTAATTCATCATAATACACACTTTGACGCCGTTTTATAACACATATATTGTTATTTTATTAATTATTATTATTATCATACAATTAATTATATCGCAGAAGCGCCTTTTATTCCCGTCGTCGTCTCTACCAATATATTATTATTATTATAAATCATAATGCAGAGTAAAAAATACGTAATGTTATGTAAACGTTATTTGCAGTGCGATGTGCGTATTACAACCGTAGTGGTTGTTTCATCATTCCATGCCCCCCCCCCCGAGTCCTAACCCTCCCTTCCGGTGCACGACAACATTTGGCCCGTTTTCGAAAATCTTCATCCATTTCTCTCCCTCCATATATATATATATATATAAATATACACGTTTCTATATACATTTGTGTGAGTTTGTATAATATATATTGTATATATGCGTGTACCTATGTATATACCTAGGTATATATGGAGCGGGAGACGCGAAAAGAGCTTTTCGCCGAGCGACTATTGAATTAAAACCTCGCGCGCTCATTGTCGTCGAAATCCAATTAGTCGCACCTCCGGCGACGACGGCGGCGGAGGCGGTGGCGATTGGCGGCGAGGTGGGAGGCTGTTTTTTCGACGAGCTTTCGGAATAATAATAATAATAATAATAATTTAATTTCGATTTAAACGGGACGGTGGAGCACCGTTGTTCGTCTCGGATGGGAGAGAGTGGAGAGTGGAGTTTTCCGGTTAAACTCGTACAACCGACGATTTTCTACGACTAAACGTCCGGGGACGTAACCGAGACGCGGACGACGACGATTGAACATTTTCCATTTTTTTCCCCCTTCTTTTAGGCGGCTTTTTACATTATGTTCGGCGAACGAACAAAATATTATATTATAATGTATAGTTTGCTCGAAATAATGACACGCTTTTCATTGTTGGGCGTTAGCGCCGTTCTTCAGTGCGGTATTCCGACTGTTTGAAAAAGAAAAAAATATAAATAAAAACTGTTCTTTTGTAAAAATTAAGAGGTGGGTAAATAATTACTATAGGTACATATTTTCACAAACATGTTATTACTGTATATTATGATATTGTGTACGTGATATTTATATAAAACGAAAATAATAAAAAATTGTCTTTCGTTTCGTCAATTTAACTTTTTCCATTACTTTTTATTCGCAACATTACCTCCACGGACAATATAATTCTGTCCATAAAAAATATGAAACAATCATATTCATAACTAATTATATAAAAATGTTTTTATGCATAACTATTCCAATCGAAGTATGAATATAATATGTATCTTATGTTGACCTTTTATGTTGGACTAATTTATAATAATTCAAAATTTCCACTCACTGTTATAAAAATATATAACATTATGTTTATCCGAAAAAAAACATCGATTGGGTCCAATTTAATTAATAATTAAAGAAATGGAAAACAAAAAACTACAAGGCACACAATAACGATCATATTGTATAATCGTAAAAAATAATATAATAATACTCTAATCTAACTACACGGTATACATGTAAAGTGATTTTCCCAAAATGTCGAACGATCCTAAAACGAAATCATTCGTGTTTGTATCTTGCCTATATACACAGGCCTCTTCGTCACCGAAATAACCGATCGCGATTCCGTTGGTTTTTACTTTTTTGACTAGTTTTTGTAATATCTTGTGACATTGAGTATTGTAAAAAACGAACGAGACGTGACGCACATCCTGCAGGTCGATTAATAATAACATCACAACAACAACAACCAACAACAACAACAATAATAATAATAATAATAATAATAATAATATGCATTTTCCTTTTAGACCTCGAACGGCGCAACAGACTCGGCAAACAACAAACAACAGCACTCGCAGCCCGCTGCCGTTGCAGTGCAACCCAAGCCGGAACAAAAGCCCGTGGAATGTAACCTGTGCCATCGAAAATTTAAAAACGTACCGGCTCTAAATGGACACATGAGGCTGCACGGAGGATACTTCAAAAAGGTCAGTACCTCTAGTTTCTTTGACTATATGCACCCGCTCTGTATACACAATATAAATATTATATATTCCCCGACGCGGCGTGTTTGATTTGAAATTCAGTGCAAATATGTGCGCGTTTCGTTCAAACGCATTTCATGTTGCGAATTGAAAACGTAATGTAAAAATTGTAAAAGCGAATGCATTCGCTGCAACGTCCGTGTGTTTGCAGTTGTAGGCAGCAGGTGTATTGAAGTTTTTAAACATTCGTTCTAAAGAATAAAAATTATCAAGGTTCTACATAGTTGATGGCGCTCCCGTTAGAATCTGTCGACGGCGTGTTTTATTTTTTACCGTAACACAATATCAATTATTATTGTGTCGTACAAACGATATTTATAATTTGCAACTCATAATTTACGCGATAATAATATTATAAAAGTACTTAAAGCAGTTTTAATAGTAAATGAATTTCGTCGTTTTAATTTAACATTTTTCATAAAATATTATAATACACGCCTATACCTAAGTGTTTTTATTATTCTGATATATTATACGAATAGGCATGCGCAGTAGTGAGTTTGTTTAAGAAATTAAATTTTAGAGTTGAAACAGTCGGGTGGAGTTCGGCTTTTTACATACAAAACGCTTTGTATGTACGGTTATACCCTTCGCGCTGTCAAAATGACATATACACTCTAATTTCCAGCAACATGCGTTTTTTTTTTTTCCACTGCACTACCCAATCCGGCCCGGCAGTTAGATTTGACCCGTAATAAAGATTTTTTCCCCTCTCTCGCTTCCCCCCGGAAAATTTCGCCCGCCTTCTGGTTCACTAATTAACGCACGACCGAAATTTTAACCAATTATCTCCAGTAGCTCGGAAATCCCGAAAGGTTTAACGAGACGTGAGTTCGATCAATGGGAAACGCCAAACGAGAGGAAAACACGGGATTTTGATGGGTGAGGCGCCGGGGTGGAAACCGTGCGCACATCCAAATTGAATTTTTCATTTACAAGGCTTCACACTTTCCCGGATTCGGTCGGAACCGTGGGCCGGGAGAGGGAGGGGCCAGACAGTTATCCGATGTTCAAAGAGATAGAGTATGACAAAGAGATCTATGATAACTACGTTTCTAAAAGAGATTATCGACGACGACTTCAAAAGGATTGTTTTTGCGCTGCACACGTATACGGACGCGTAGGTGTATACATAATAGATATATATGTGGGTGTGTGGGTGTGTGGGTGTATACTATGTACATGGCACATGCACATGTGTGTGCACAATTGTACAGACACATATTATTACGTACTGCGCTGCGTAGCCAAACTAAGTCCTCGGGAATACCGAAAGAAGACTCGAGTGATTCAGTACGATTTGAATCAGTACAACAACTTATACTAATTAGTACGATCGGTTATTGTTTCGTGGTAATATGCAAGTGTTGAGTACGCACAAATAATACCTACATATTATACGACTGTTATAATATATATATATAATATATATATTATATACATATGATGATAATATTCTATTGAAATTCACCAGTTTTATGGGTAATGTTCACGGATCAATCTACTAGGTATATGCGCAGACTTCAAAATATGAAATCGGTTCAATAGCTGCGAGTGAGGCATAAGTTTTATATTTAAATGCAGAAATTGAAATAATATTTCGTACCCGTATCCTAACATCGTTTTTGCTTCGGTTTTTCTAAGTTTACATTAAACAGGTAAATACAAATATTTATTAATGAAATGCCAGACAGAATATTATATACATAATATTATACTAGTTATATTGAAAAAACACGTCATACCTACAAATGAAACAATGTTAAAATGACCGTAGTTTTAATAAACTGTTATACATTAGTCAGTAAAATTCTCTCTGGATCAATATTTTTAATTTGCCAAAATGTGAATGTTATAAATTTTTACCATTTTTTTACAAAAATGTGAACGTGTGCTTGCACAACGTCTAGGTGTGGGTACTAATAATATTATTTAATTTTTTTTACTCACACATTTTTATTTTTCTGACAAATTCGTGTGAAAAGCCATACAGAATAATAACTGATGAAATCACCAGTTGATTATCTAACAACTTTCTATGTGCTTCAAACTTGCATGAAATCACCCACGAGAATCATATCATTATTGAATGTCCTTCAATACTGTCATGTAACTTCAACATTTGACTTAAAATAATTTGCACAATAGTTGTCACCAACAATATTGCAAATTGTATACTATTTGTAGAATCATTTATATAAATAAATACCTACACAATATTATAGTCAGTATTGACAAATGTCAATATTATACTATCATATAATTATTATTTGTAAGACTTTTTGACATCTCAAATATACCGGATTTGAATGCACCCTTAATATAACAAGGTATTTTAGTTCGTAGAACCCAAACATGGACAAAGAATTGCTAGTAGATGTTGAAATATTAAACTTATATTTTTTAAAAATGTAATTTAAAAAATCGTGAATTTCAAATAATTGGTATGCTCTTAGGTGTTACCAAAAAAAAACACGTATTAACATCTCTCTACTTCGTAAACGTATGAATTTCGGACACAATAATATGATAACTCGAAATCGCAAAGTTTGCATAAATCAATAGGGCAATCTATATACATCTGCGCCTAGTCCTCGTCACTTCATTTAGTTATAAAAATTGATCTCGTCCATTGGCGTATTATAAAAAAATTGAGCGGCTATGATGACGCATCTCGCACACACTCCACGCTAAATCAATTAACATCAAACACTATTATCACAAACAACCCTTTTACGAGTTGGGCCGTGTCTGCGCACATTTACATAATATATAAGTGCGCGTTTTGTAAGCATATAATATAATATATAGATGGGTAATATACAATAAATACGGAAGTATGACTATTTAGGTAGTAACTGCAGCAGTATATGAACGAATAACGTGCAATGCCGTGTTACCTGTCCCAATACGCATCTCCAATAAATATAATATAATATATATATATGTATCACTGAGGAAACATAACACAGAGGTTTCCTGCAGAGACGTAACGAGTAACTGAAAACCAATTTGAATATTTTCCACGACGGCCGGAAATGTTTTACAAAGAAACGGATATTTACATTGAACACTCAATCAAACTTTCGTATTTACACTGACGTACACGGCGAACAAATCACTTTGTGTTTACGAACGTCGTTTCTTAGGTTTTTGAAGGAAAATAACCTTTTTCTTCTTTGATCTCGTTTCAGACTATACTGCATTAAAAGCGGGAGTTTTCCATCCCTTTTTATTATTATTATTATTATATATATATTTTTTTTTTTTCATGACAATTATTCACCTCTAAGGCAGACGGTTTTATTTAATAAATTATGTCGTAGCTAAGGACTAAAAAGGAGATATTGCCGTCATATTACTTTTTCTTTTTTTTTTTTGCTTTTCATTAAATTAGAAAAATGCGTTCACAAAAAAAGTTACAAACTGCAATAAGAAAATAAATGTATGTTATATGTTTTAAATTAAATTACAAAATAAATGATGTTTACTATTTTAGAAACATTTTCATTTTTGGAAAAAAATTAAATAAATAGAGTGAGATTGCTATCGTTTTTTAATTTCGTAATGTGTATACTGTGTCCCAAAGACGCCTAGGGTCATACTTTTCACAGAAATCTTTGTCTTTCATTCATGTACAGCGACTAAAAGAATTTTTTTCACCATCACCCCCGTATAATAGTACGTATATAATATCCACCAAAAAATGATTTTCATTTATGAATAGGTAGTTATATTGTATAAATCAGAAGTAATACAGTAATATACAGAGTTATAAAATACTGAATATTTCTGCGTCATAAATGGCCCGAAAAATATGTTTTATCAAACAATATACTTTATCACATTATACATGATTAAAACTAACCCGATCGTTAAATGATATTCGTCTTCACGCCAAATATTAATGTTTAAAATAAATTCAGAAAATACGATTAATTGGAATAAAATATTTTGCCGAACATAAAAAATATTGAACCATTCATTTAGAATATTATATTATTATGATTCTTGGATTTTGACTTTGTCCGTATAAACACTCGACTTCGTCTTCAAGTTGTTTCCACACGATTTATGTTACTGTGTAGCTATATTAACCTTTTTAGTTTTTACTAATTTCAAAATGTTTCATTTCTTATTCGGTATTTTACACTTAGTGTTTGTGGGAAATGTTAAAAATTTACGAGTTGGAAATTAAAACCAGATTGCCAAACTTTGTGATCAATAGGGTTCGTTTACGGCTTATTCTGTAGCATGGCGACGGCGTACACGGCATAATTATTAGAATAGTAAATATAGCGAGGGAGTAGATCTGCTCTCTTGATTGGAAACAGTAAAAAAAATTACACTCTGTTTGTAAACGTGATTTAAGAATAGCGATATTTAAATCGTCAGCTGATGTTTCAGACAAAGTTATTATTTTTGTGAACAAAACAAAATAAACTAAAACATAAAATAATTTTAACTTAAGGCTATAAGAAAACGAATACGAATCAAATACTATATATAAGACAAATATAAATACTAATTGTGTTCAGTATTATAATTATTGAGTTAAAATGAATAATGGATTTATTTCATGTTACGTAATACAAAGTACGGTTAATATAATTATATTTCAAGTATAACATAAACGAGATATCTACATTTTAAATTGTCTTATTAGTGTCTATGAGGAGTTTTCGATATCATACTACTCGAATCTCAAATCTTACTCCGTTTTGAAATAATACGCTTCTAGTTTGATGTTATTGACGTTTAAAATAATACTACCACAACTGCACACTGCATACGCAGACATTACTGGAGGATAGTCGTACATATCACATTAATTCACCAACGCACACGTAAATATTATATTCTTTTTCACCCCTAAGTTATAAAAATGTATCTGTCTAATTTCGAACATAATATTATGCTTATTGATTAACGAGATGATATTGAATATTTAGGGTTGGGGGATTCGCTGGGTCATCAAGTGGCTACCTTGACTACCCTGCTTATGCTGCACAGTATACATTTCAACTAATAGTGTCCGCAACAATACATTTTATTATTTTTATAAAACTAGTATACACATTTTTAAGTATCAAAACTTTCGAGTGATATGAAGTATGTTAGCTTTAGATTATTTACACCATGAATACTAAGGGTTAAATATCCTTAACATAACTCTAAAGGAACTATATAACATGTTAAATTTCCAAACGCTATACACTAAATTATACTGAAATATGACATCGATCTTCTCAAAGTATGTTAAAACTTTAAAAATTGAAATTTGCATTAGACGTAACAACATATATTAATAGAAAGCTGACCTAAATAAATTATACTTCCGAACATAAAATATAAGTATAATATGCATGGCTGTTCTGATTTTTGACAATACCATAAATTAAATGTGTATACCTATGTACATTTTAATAATTCGCCAATAATAGTAGGTATATATGTAGTCAATATTATTTTTATGGCAGATAATTCGGGTTTATTACATTATTCTTCGCATCGCATTAGGGGATTTTGATATAAAATATAAGGTATTTTTTTCAAATTATTATTGTCAGTCATTATTATCTTTGTGATAAAAACTCCATTGGAAACCATATCAATATTCTATGTACCCTCTAAATCTGCATATTATGCCATTCTATCAAGCACGCCCCTGCAAAACAAATCATTATTTAATCCCGACAGACCGCTATATTATAAAACCATATGCAGCGAGTGTTTGTCTGTGTGTACGTGCGTGGCGGATAGGCGGGTGGGTGGATGGATGTGGGTGTGTACGAGTATTTGTATAGGAGTACATAGTTTAATATCTGCCAGCCTTTTCCTCCCCTAATATTAATTACAGAAATGCCCCACACATCCCTCCTGCTGCTGCTGCTGCTGCTGCTGCTGCTGCTGCCTTGTATCGGCAAGAAGTCCCAAAATGTTTTGCCATTACTTTGCCTTACTCTATCCCGGTCAACTGATTTATCATGTTGATTACTATAGGGGTTTAGCGGATGCAAAAACCGCAATGAACTATTTCGATCTCCAAAAAGGTGTCGGGTTGTGGGCAGGAGAGCCAGAGAAAAACTTCACTGGATTTTCCTAGGGTACACCGAAATGTCCATTACACAAGAAAACAGACCCACAACTTCACCACATGCTCGAACACACGGCGATTAATATCGTGATTGTGATTATAAAAATAAAAAAACGACAAACGAACGAAAGTACGAACCAACAGCTTGAGTGTGTTCGTTTAGTAAAAATTCTCAATAAAAATCAATATAAAAACAATTTAAATAAGGATATTGTAATTTTGTATTTTTGTATTTTTACACATTTCTATAGAAACCGTCGTTCGTATTTTCAAGTTTTTCAGATTTGGAATGAAATTAATCAAATTATTAGGTTAAGAACATGATACTATAAAAAAATGAAAAACTTTGTGTTCAATGCTCAATAATAAATTATCATATGGTTAAAAACTATTTAAGTATTTAATTGAGTATTTAAATTTACAATAGTTATTGTGTATTATACAGTGAGTAGTTTATTAAAAGTAAAGCAATTAACAGTTTCCTCCACAATATTTTTTCAAATGATTTTATATTATTCAATTATAGTCATTTTTAAATCAATAAATTTAAAACATTATACTTTATAGTGATCAAAATTTACAATTACGTATAAATAGTTCATATTTGTTTGAATAATTGTATTTGTACAAAATATTCATAATTCATGGAATACAATACTAAATTTCAGTATAAAAATTATAGCCATGTTTTACAAATATTTCTATTTCTCAATAAATTAAATTATCAACCATAAGTTAATTAAGATGAATTGAATGTACTACCCGGCTTTACTTTTATAGTTATATTATACTCTAAGTACAATAACAGATACATTATTCACCTATAAAATGTAAAAACACTGAATTTGTAAAATTTGAAAATCGCATATAGGTAGGAAGGTAGGTAATAATATCCAACAGTTAACATAAAAAATAATAACTTTGCGAATTTCTAAGGTTTAAAGGGAAAATAACTTGAGCTTATGTTATTAATTACCAAAGGTCTCGATATTCGGTTGGTTCAATTAAAGGGTTTAGGATACAATTACAGGAACATGTCAAATTATATTGTATTACAAACCATATTCTTTAATTGGATAGATTTTGAAATTGATTTTCGATTACATAAAATGCTTCTAATTATCATAACTGTAAATTAATTTTACTATAATAATATTATTCGCTGATCGAAAACCATTTTTTTCACCTCGGGGGTTTCAAATTCTCTGAATGATGTTATTAAGCGTAAAAAATATCAAATTAAGTTTTGAAAAAAAAATGCATTGAAAATAACAACCATAAAAGCTGAATCATGTATTTTTGACGTTCAGTGGTTTTTTTCGTGTTTATTGTTTGGTCTTGCATTATCAAATACAACCAGATTTTTCCGTGCCCCTTCCTGAAAATGTTCAACTCTTTTTTTTTTTAAATATTATGTGTATCCTCCTCTCCTCCCTTTTTCCTTTGTTATAAACGACCACAGAAAATCCTAGAACGTTTCCATGGAATTTTCTACTGTTCGTAACAAACCACGAGCCGTGTAAATATAAATCACGGGTGAAGAGATTTGTGTAAATAAAATTATCTTAAACCAAAATGTTTTTATTAATTTTGAAAACCGTTTCCAGGAAACTGATTCAAAAAAATGGGAGAAAAAAGAAGCATCGGGTCCACCCCTGCAGACTGCCAGCATGAGTGTCAGGGCTTTGATCGAAGAAAAAATCATACAAAAAAGAACCACGAAACCAAATTGTTCAACTCAAAACGGACTAACATATTCAAGTGAGAAAAAAATATTTAAATACCTATGCTATCGCAGTTTAAAATGGGTACATCGAAATTAATCTTTATATGTTGGTATTATATGTAATAATGTGTTGTAAAATTAATTTACCAGATTTTAACTGAAATAACAATAATTCATTTAATTATTGATTATATGCAATGTAATGTCACCACCATACACTGAAAATCACAAATCATAATCAAATATTTAAATGCTTAATAGCTCAGTTTTAATTAATTCGACAGGAATTTATAGAAATAGTCTCAAATTACATGAAAAAATAAACTTAAAAAATAAACTTTCAAAACTTTTAAAAATTTAATTAATTGGATTTTAAACAAACATTTAAACTTTTTTTACAAGTTTTGTTTGTGTCAAACATGACATATAATTTATACAAACATTGGAATTAAACATTTCCAATCACATTATTTGTTTTTCAGCGTTAATCTAAATTTCAAAACGTGATAACATGCATTCTTCCATTAACAGTCTGATTCAATTGGCTATATCCACAACAGTGCCTACCATGTTGTCCCCATTTAAAGCGTTCTGCTACTGCATAAAAATAATGAACAATAATAATCTAACCTAACCTAACCTTAAAAATTGTGATTATTGAACAAACATAAAATATTTTTACATTTTTAATGGTTTGAGCAAACGTATTTGAGAAAATAAGTTTTAAAAAATACTTACAGTTTTATTTTATTGTTATATTAAAGTATACACTGTTATAAATACTTAAAATGCTAAAACAACAGCAAACACTTAATTGTTAAACAAAAGCAACGACCTTAGGTACTTAGTTACTTGTTCAGTTTTCAATATAAATGTCATTTAAATTTTCAGAAATTCTAGTTAGGTCATTATTACTAAGGTAAATAGTTGAAACAATAATACAACCTGTTTTGTTTTATTTACCTTTTAAAAAAATATGACATTAATCGTACATAGTACACGTTTGTTCCGAATTTATTATACGCCGTGTTACTTAGCAATATATTATTGTAAATAAATTATAACTATAGACCCAATAATGTTCAGCCTAAAGGTAATATTTATTTTATTTAGATCAATTCGTCATCATTATCGTCAATGACGGCTTTTATGTGCCATTTAAGTCCTATGACACACAATTACCTCTACCCTTTTTTAACTCCAGTTATTTTTATCTACCGCCCTAGTGACTATGTACCCATATAAGTAGGTCCTTAAAGTCCACTCCAACTTTTTTCATCAACATTTGTTTTAGTTATCCCGAAGATCTTTTTCAAGTAAACAACTGAATAGATTTTAAAAAATGTTTAATACTGAAACACACAACGAAACAATATTCAATAAAAAAAGTTTGGAAAAGATTGAAAATAAATACTTAATTCGTAAACTGCAGCCTCTCGAGTTGCAATATTGACTTAAAAGCTTAACAGTGATGTCTTAACAAAAAAATAAGTAATAAAGAAACAAGACAAACAAACAAGACTACAATAATTAGATTATTTGAACCGAACTTAAAATGTTCTTGGATCGAATTGTTTTCTTTTATTCGTATTACAAACAAAATTATTAAATATAATGATGTTTAAATAGAATATAACATTTTAGCGCTTGGTTTGTACAAACCTTAAAAAATATAATAATATCATTAAAACATATTATATACCTATTATTTGTCTACTCTTAAATTATTTCTTACTAAAAACAAGTACTGTATTATTAATCGATCTATTTTATGATTTAACTCTTTTGAAAGATATCAAAAAAATCATTACATAAATAATAAATTACACTTATGCATCGTTTTGATTTCCATCCGAATGATCAGATATTTTATAATTATTTGAATTTTTTCCACGATAAAGATCATCAAAGTATTATCACATATATCACATATAATATCCAAGGTTAGGTTCGAAATAACAAATTAGTATAATTTCTAAAATAAAAGTTAATTTCACGATACAAAAATACAAATGCATTGCGCGTGTTAACACTTTTCCAGCATTCGTGACACTTTTAAACGTTAAATATTATATCTCCGATTGAATGTGCTGACGTCACATTTCTGTTCCAATATCTGCATTAATATAAAATATTACCTGTATAAGTTATAGCCTATCATGGCCCTCTTTCGAGTCGTATTTCGCTGCTGTGTTATACAGACATACTTATAATTACATTTTTTGGGAAGTGAATGTTTTATTATTAATAATAATATTATTGTTGTACTTTTGAGCACCACTCGCACGATTTATGAAATATTATACCTACCCAATATGATATAATTTGTATCGTACTCCAGTTGCGAACCCAAATTTACTTTCGCACATCATTACTCCCGACGTGTCCGTGCTCGATGCTCGATCTGACGATATTTCATCGTCGACGGCAGTTAGGTTAAGTCGTTAAACCGAAAATCTGTTGGTTTTTCAGGCATGAACCGAGAGAAGGAAACGGTGGTACAGCAAGTGGTGAGCAGAAGCACGGCGGTACACGCGGTTATGACCACCAGCGGTACGTCGTTCGCGGTACCAGCGGTGCCAAACAACGCCTCGCTGGTGGACACGACAGTGGGCTTGGCCGACTCCACGGCCGTAGTGTACACGGACGTGATACTCAAAAAGACCGGCGTGAAGAGGGCGTGCTCGGATCCCGGATACCAGTTCAATCACAGGTGAGTTGGCGGTACGGTTGGGGCGTTCGCATATCTGTATCAAGCGATATCGGTCTCGGCGACGAATCCGGAAAACGATAGGTACGCAGCTCGGACAGTGACACGTGCACAGGTCGAGAATAAAGATAGAGAGAGAGAGAGAGAGAGAGAGAGAGAGAGAGAGAGAGAAAATCCGAGAGACAGACAGACAGACAGAAAGATAGAGATTAGAGTGAGTGGGAGAAGGAGGCGGGGAGAGAGAGAGAGAGAGTGAGATGAGAATGAAATCCCATAAACTCTGTGGGCTTTCGGAATTTGTGTTTGGGTGTTTTCTTAAATTGAATACGACGGCGTTTGTCCACGTCTAGCGAGACGATCAAATTGGCAATGTCGGTGTGGCGGGCGATTGTCGGTTTAAAATACGGCGTTTCGGGATTTCCCTCGTCCCTCCGATTCGGAGGCTTTCGACTTAACTATTTAAACCACCGATGCATACATCCTTTCATGCATAATTGACAGGGCCTTGTCTGACACTCCAATAAAAACTTTCATGTTTTCAATCGGAAACTTTTATCTTCTAAACCGCTGTACCTAAACGAGAAAATACCTTCTCACCCACTCTGAATATTTATGGCAAATGATTAGGCGGCACATACAACTAATCGATCGACAATTAGATATTTTTTAATTGAAAATAAAAAACCTAACTTACATTTTTGTTTTGCATTTTATACGATTGAATCGAAAATACAATATAATTTCATAATGTACCTACCACCATGTTAATAACTTAAACAACAGTGATAATTACAGTGTAATATTCAATAATACATTAGTACATCATCATTAATTAATAATATAGTGTCTACCCACAAACTTTACTCGAATATATCATGCATAGGTACATATTTTTATGGGATACTTCCATAAAGTGTCACCAACACTTTACCTTAAAACCTCGTGAAATACCTACCCCACTGTAACGTCAGAAGTAATAAAATAGTAGTTTTTAAATTTATCATCATAAATTTCACTTCATCAGAGCAAAGTTTTACTTAATGACGAATAGTGTATGAAATAAAAATACTCTGTATAAAGTAGGTACAAGCTATAAAGTTGATTCCAAACAAAAACTTCCTCAAATAACGATCAACTTTCTCTGCAGGGGATTGCAATGAACTTGTTATTATTAAAAAAATGTTCTCACCACTATAGTATAACTATATCTATTCTTATGCAACTCCGATAAATTGTCTATAAATAATTCTTGATGATCTTCAAACGTAAAATGTAACTCAACGTTGTTTCTTGAATTGAATTTAAATGCGATGTTAATATATTAATATTCATACCCCGCGGAAATTTGTAATTTATGTGTATCGCCTTAAATTTAAAAATCGATGTTTTTTTAAAATATATTTTTCGGGTACAATATTATTTATTGTTTCTTTAGTGGAAGAAATTGAGGACAATATTAACTCAGTATAATATTGAGATGTTAAGTTGTTTAAATGTCAACAGAAAAACTGTACTAGTTTCCTGTCTGCTGACGGATGTTTTAAATATTCGTGATTTTCTCAAAAACCATGGAAAATTTCCAAAACAACTTTCTGTAAAATTCGTTTCGTTTCAAATTTCAAGGGACGCCGAGTCAAGCGCTTCGTGGTAAATTTAACGGCCCGGCTCCGAACGTGAATCCAAATCACAACCGAGTGTATACAATTCAATGCGTATCCCCGCAGTGCCCGTACCGCCGTCGGAAACGAAATCGTACGATAATATCATAGTCGGTCGCAGATGTCGGAAATTCTGACGTCAAGTGGTCGCACCCACTGTACGGGGCGACCCGTGTATAACATTATTATAATCCCAGACATCCCCGAGCGTCTTCCGCGGATCGCTCGCACATTGACCGCGACACAAACACACGGACGTCGTCAGAAATGCGCGACGACCTCCTCGCGCGCGGAGATTCGGTCGGTCCCAAGTCTCTCGGCCGTCATAATATCACACACGAGTGTGCGTGTGCGCCGCTCGTCGATTCAACAGCGGACGGTCTATTAATCTCTGACCCGCGATGGGTTTTTTCGTTGCAGCAGCACCACCAGCCCGCAAATAGATATTAATTACTCCGGTTCGCCGTACACACTGAATCAAGGAAACGGTGGAGGCGGTGGAGGCGGTGGAGGCGGCGGAGGCGGCGGCGGCGGCGGCGAAAAGGAAACCGATAACCGGGGCTATTATTCGCCGGGGCTCAACGACGATATATTTCCCAACGTACAAGCCGAAACCATGCTCCTGCAGGCCGTCGACTCCGTGCAGCTGGCCAACACGATACAGGTAAAACGGGCGCACCGCCGTCATATACGGTCCCACGATATTATTATTATTATTATTATAGTTGCGTAATAGTCCGCGGTAGTGTAGTTGTAGTGACGCCCAATGTGACGAGTATATAGTTACAATAGTTACCAAAACCAAAACCCAAGCGAACACCGAGGTCGCCAAACGATTTTAACAAATTTTCATATCTATTAATTTTTGTTATTGCCGACGATTATTTTTAAAGAGTAATGAGAATTTTCGGTTTTGACCTCCCTAAAGTATCGACTGGGTCCAATTTGCTTTCAAACTCCTTCATCGGAGCATTTTTCTACTAGAAAAGTCCAGAGGCTGAAATCGTACGAATATTTTCAAATACCTCGCCTAAATGAAATCTGAAATTATTTGACTGGATGACAAATTAAAAATAAAATTTTAATTTATTTTTAAGCCCCACTCTCCCCCATTTGAAAAATCCTGCGTACTCCTCGCGGGTATAGTAGGTAGGTATAGCAGCAGTTATCGTATTAAGTCTCGCTGTGACCGCGATTTTCAGGACAAGCATATCAATAATTAATACCACCTTGAACGAGGCACACAGAATTTAAAATAATGTCCATACTTATTTCTTGATCCGTTCCGGTCGATAATTATTTCTATTATTTTATAAAATATATTAGGTATTATAGTTTTTTGATAGTTTATTATGTTAAATAACTAATTTTTAGGCACAGTAGAGTTTCAAATTGATTAATATTTTATTCCGCGAATTATCATGTGTTTCTCGCAAAATCAACTATGACCATTGACCACCCGTAGCTACCGACATAACCTTTACTACTGACTACTGCGCCTTTGGTTGTGTACACGTTTTCGTCGTCATTATTTAAAAACAACTCACTTAATTTAATTTTTTTGAGATTATATTAGACTATTCGTAGTTAAACGAAAAGCTAAAACATTTTTAAGCATATAGATTAATCTGGAATGGGCCAATCGCTGTCGATTAATCAAAATATTCCAGAAACACCGTCTGTATTAATCATCAGAACACCGATGAGTTTTTATCAGTACACAAAACCCCTTCTAAAATGTGCTTTCCCAAAGATTGGGTCCACTGGACTGGGAGTAGGCCAGCAGTAGAATTTATTGGTAGCATTATTGTTATTCAACTGGCGGCGTTAATAGGTCATCGTCCTCCGCTTCAGAACACACAGACAACAAAATTTATCAGATTTCACAAAAATATAAACGTGTGAAATACCTATCTACTCAAGCTCGAGTGAATATTGCAGAATATCGAACAATATATTTTTCCATTTTCAAGTTTAAATACGATTATTATTTCGGATGTTTGAAATTCGTCTTTTATGCAGCCCCGTTGAAAAATAATAATTACTTGATGGTATACTATAATAAACGCTTAAATATAACAAGTATCGTCTATATTTGTATTCGTTGATTACATTATATTATATTGAATAGCTACGGATATACCAATATTAATAATTAAAGATAGGCATCTATAACTTATTCAAACATACCAATGTGGTCATAATTCTAGTTATTATTAATACTAATTAATATTTAAATGTAAACATATAAAAATTATTTGAAATCAATTGAACCTATATAATATGCACTATAGTCAAAATGTACATTATCTCCAAACAAACAATTTCGCAAAAATAATCCTTTGAAGTTTGGACGAATTCAGTAGGTCGATAAAGTTTTAGTACTATACGACGCATTCCCTTTTCGTCTGCGCTCGTTAGTAATAAATAAACGAGATTTCTTCCGCTCTTGAACCGTGTGTACTCCGGTACGTAAATTGTAAAACTTTATATGACTATATACACAGATAAGTATAAAACGAACTTTGTGTTTGATGGTCGATTCTATTGGACCAAAGGCTATAGTAAACTACTGGGTTGCAATTGCACATATAAATTTACTCAGTGCATTAAATACACACGGAGAATCCATTTAGATTTGTGTCCTTTACCTATATCTGTATTTATTTTTGTTTATTATTTGTTTTTCATTCAATTCACTATACGTATCGACGCAAAATGATCAATAGCACACTTCAAAATAAATTTCTATGACCAACGACAACGTATACATAAAATATACTCAATACTGATATGATTGAAACGAAAATATTCTCAACTATATTTTAAAAACATAGTTTGTCAAATGCCTCTAATATCTAATACATTTGTACATTTTAATGCTATCTTAAAATATGTTTTATATCAACTAAACCATCATTAATTTAAAATTAATTTTTAAATGTTTTTATTTGTATTATTATTAGGCTACGGACATGCAAGACATGTCATGTTTAGATGATTATGATGGTATGACCGATCTTCAAAACAACGAAGATTTCCAAGCTGTGTTAAATTCTCCACTCTCGGCCAGCTTGGCTGATCTCGCTTACAGTTCAGGACAAACCATGTTTACAGATTTAGGTAGATCACCTCTTCCATCCCCAAGTTTTACCTACCCTACTCCACCGGCTAGTCAAGAGGGTCAATCTCCTTCGCTAAATTTTCATTCGGTTATGTCAAACGGTCACCTTGGTGACTTTTTTTATTCATCCGACATGTCAAGTTCAGAAGCTGTTGAAGCTGCGTTAAGTGAAGTTTTGCCAAATTTCGAGTCCTCTACGGATTCACCGTTATCAGCTAATACACCAGTGTCATCGCCGATGTCAATCCATAATTCATCCGCTGCACAGTCACCATTACCAAACCACCATCAACACACACTACAGGTTTATATTTGAAAATAATATTTTCAAATACAACATAATTTTAATAATATTAAATATAATTTAGGTAATGATGCCAAATTCAGAAGACCCGTTATTATCCAGCAATCCTAAAGAATTTAGGAAGAAATTCGATTACCAAACATGTCGCTTATATGGGGTCAATGGAACCATGGCTCAAGTAATCGATGGCAGTCAGTTTTTAATCGACAAAAATGGAGATTTGAAATTAGTCCAAGCAAGTTACCAAAATCCTGGAACAATGTTCGTCCAAACAGAAGCCCAGTTGATCGAAAAACATATACCAGTTATCAAACAACAAAAACCAGACAATAACCAGAACTTTGAAGATATAGATGACATTTTCCTTAATCCATCAAGGTAAAATTTGATTCTTTATTTTACGCGAAAATTCTGAACAAAACTCATATTAACTCTTGTTACTGTATATTTTTAGTATTCCTCCTAATATTACAAATCGATTAAACAGAAAACGCTGTTTTGGAGAAACTATTACGTACAAACCGTTCCGATCCAGATTACGTAGTCATAGACTCGGGATGTTAAATGAACCAACCTTGCAATTTACTCCGAAACCAATGTTGAGTCCTTCTAGAAATGGAAGAGGTCTTTATTGGCAAGCAGTGACTTCGTGGCCAAGCTCTTCAACTGTCAAAGGCAATTAATTTAATTTATTTCTAAATTCAGAAGGACTTATTTGAATTGAAATTGTAGCAACCCAAAATATTTGTTTGCATTATAATATCGAGTTTTATAATAATTACTAATAGTTACATTGAGCTAAAAAATAATTTCAAAGCGTTTAATTTATTTTAATTTTCAAAGTTCTAGTTATATAAAATGTTAATGCATGAAAATATTTAAAGCCATTTTTAATTGTTAATGTTTTTTTATATTTCAGAGGTTATTGTTGAAGACTGTGTAGGACTAGATTCACCACCAGAGTGTGATGTACTGCCACACATTAATCTTGGTCCAAATTTCCAAGCTTTAATACCACCATTAAGCAAAATCAGACCAATTCGAGAGCCGTCTAATGATTACTTATTATGGGACCCTTGTATTACAAGTTCAGTTTCTGATCGAGAAGGTGAATATGACTAACAGTTAAATTAATTTGTATAAGAGTGTTTTGTATTAATCTTGAAATGTTCTAGTTGAAATGTACATGGACTTTGCATGCTGCGCCGCAGTGCCAGGTGGTGGAAGAAACAAAGAATATGCTTTACATTTGCTACATCTTTGCAAAGGAAACGTTCAAGTACGTTTTTATCATTTTTTTTTTTAATAAACATTTACTAACAAATTTTTTGGTTATCAGGAAGCAATGTTAAAGTTGATGCAACCAACGCCTTATCTCCCACAAGGACATCCTTTGATGAAATTTGAATACACGGAATCTGATCACTGGACACCAAATGAAGTATCTATGTTTCACAAAGCTATATTCAAATATGACAAAGATTTCGCATTTATATCGAAAGAGGTAAATTAACCTAACCCAACCATATTTTGATTAAAGACTTGACATAATTCTGTCAATTTTATTTTATAGTTGGGCACGAAGACTATGAAACAATGCATACAGTTTTATTATTTGTGGAAAAAAGTTTGCCCGGAAGATTATAAACAGTTTCAATTCCAAAGACGAAAGTCGAGGAATGAAGATGCAATGGTCAATCCGAAAATAGACATTCCTGTAAGTACATTATGTGTGTCCATGTTTGATAGTATCCGCATTGCCATCTTTATTCCCATCTTAATAAAAAAAACACTCACGTTCTTGTGTAAAATTTTTTTCGTTTTTTTTTTTTATTTATTTTTCCCTCTCTAGGCTAACGACCTTATGGTCACCACCAGTTCGGAGGACCAACAAACTTTCGTTTGCGAATTCTCAGACTGTTTGTCGGTGAGTTGGATCCTTTCTCCCTCCTCATTCGTATTCCTGTAAAATGTTAACGTACAATAAATAATAAAAACCTATTCATTATGATAATTTTCAGACATTCAGTAACAAAATAGGATTAGCAGCTCATATGAGGCTACACACTAACGGAACACCAGATCGAAGGCAAACCCTGACACCAACACAAATTGATCCGAATTATGAAGAATTCCCTTGCAAGATCTGTGGAAAGTACGTTGTTTCGACTACAATTCGTTTGACCCGAAGTGTTTCTACTAAATCATAATACAATTATATTTTCGTTTTAGGATATTTACCAAAGTGAAGAGTCGAAGTGCCCATATGAAATCGCACCGACCTCCTGACGCGGAACCAAAGAAACCAAAATTGGACCAAAATGTCGACTACGGTCAAATGATGCAACTCAAGACGGTCGCAACGCCAATTCAATTGCATAGACAATGCTAAGTGAACGCAAGGCCACATTCAAAATAAAGCTCAATTTTAAACGGAGCTCGTACAATCAATTAAAACGTGTTTTCGGGGTTTTTACTCAAAAAAATGTCCAAGCAATATACATAAATATAATATTAATAATAATATATACACGCGCATACAAACATGCGAATGTGTGTGAGTGTGTGTGTGTGTGTGTGTGTGTACTTATCACTAAAAATACTACTGTGCAAAAGTTCTTCCTCGATGAATTCTATAGCATTTACATAAGCAATAATCGTCATGTCTTGGACAATAATAAAAATTCATACAATAAATTGTGCCAATCAAAATCACGCTAGAATCAAAATGCTCAGTACGAAACATTACAACTTTCTTTAGTCTCTAAGCTTTTGAAAACTAAAAACCAAAGTTCGTCAATTAACACATGATGTGGTCAAAATAGTTTCAAATGTATGTGTATATGTGTGTGTGTGTGTGAGTGTCCGTGTGTATATAAAATATAGTGTACATTTCTAACCAGTAAAACATATACGTAATACAATTTTTAAAACACTCATTTGAGACGCGAATTTGGTACTTGAAAAAAAAAAATTAAGTTATAAACTCATCATGTTATTAATATAAAATAATTATAGTGCCAAATAAGAATATTTTCCCCTTTGTATTTTTATATCCTGTTATTATAATTTTGTGAATATTAAAAAAAAAAAAAAAAAAATACAAAGAAAAACATTATCAAGTCGATGCTCAAATTCTTTGACTTACATTTTACATTTTGTAAGCTAATATTATTTAGTTCCAGTCTTCCCTTCCAAAAATAATAATCCAAACTTCAAATGGTAGTGAATAGCTATATATTATTGCTGTTAAATATTTATCTTAAGTGAATGTAAATGAATACACATATATATATTTAATATTTATTACCTTACGATTAAATCGATGATTTAAAATTATATCGAGGATGCCATTGGTTCGCAAAAGTGTTAATACAGGCTCTAGTCTTCATGCATGTTTTTGAAGCGTTAGATAAAAAAAAATATAAATATATATAAATAAATACGCGTCGCTTTTATATTATATATAATTCGTATAAAAAATGTATATTTGAGATGTTAGTGATTAGGTAGTGGTATAGTATAAAAAGGTTTACTCTGCGCCTTTTTATTGCGCTACTTGAGGGTTTTTTTAATGTTATTTGTTGCCAGTATTGATTTTTGTTATGTTTATTTACTTTGAAGGGAGCAATTTGACATCACTCCCTCTATCCCTCCCCCAAAATGCCCTTTTTTCATCCGGTCCCAAGCGTTGCCGGTACATTCCATCATTTCCCCCACGTTCGAATTTTCCGGCTAAACATTGTGCGCCCACCAAAGGGTAATGATAATAATTAAAGGAAATAACGCTAAAAGAAATTGTTATAGTTATTTTAGATAAAAGTTATACGAGATTTAACATTAAAATTATATTTAATGAATATAATTATCTTAAATTATTTAATAGAAAAAAAAATATTTAAAATATTTTAGTACATTCTTAATATATTATTATGGTAAATTTTTAGTATAGGTCTAAGTTATTATGTGTTTAGAATGTTCGTTGTTGTTTTGGGCTCGAAAGTTAAAGGAAAAAGTTATTGTAATTTTTTTTTTTTGTTTTTAGTTAATTTACTGGCTAACTAATTGTACATCAGTACATCTATACAATAAGTATATGTAACTAAATATGTTTGTAAAAAAATAGTTATTTTTCGTTTCATTTAAACTATTTCTATTAAATGTATTATTTTATCGGTGTTTTATCGAATCATTGTATACAATCAACAGTGTATAATTTATTGTACTATTTATTTAATTTAATTGTTGTGGTCTTTCAAAGAGGAAACGAATAAATAAATATTAATTAATGGTTATTAACTGTGGTATTATATGTACTTATTATTTACCAAGTACCTATTTAGCTCCTGGCGTTCCTGTCATTAATTGTTTTAGTTGTTGTTGTTGTTTTTGTTGTTGTTAATTCTTTTATAGGTAGGTACATCATACATCCGAGTTCAAATAAAATGTAAGCTTAAAATGTATACCTTCAAAATATTATATAAAAGCAGAATGTTGTATGAAGCATTCCGTCTCATTATTTTTTAATAATATTAAAAATATGTGCAAGATGCGAAAATGGTTCAAATGTTGTATTCTTTTTTCGTTATTTTCTATTTAATTAATAAATTATTCGAATTTCTCGTCTACAGACTACAAAACAAAAATCTCGCAAATCGATTCTGCGGAACTTCAGACATGGCTGCCCAAAGAAATCGAAATCGCCACACGTTTTAAACACAATATGAATAATATTATATAGAGGCAAAAACTCGCAATAAAATAAAGTAGCATTCTATATTAAAAAAATCAAAATTCTTACACTCTATAGATAAATTTTACTATAACTTTGGTATTTATCAATAGTAATATGCAAAAAAGAAACCAATTATAACACTGAACATAGACATATTATATTATCATAATTGTAGTACATCGATACCTACCATTTACGAGATTTAGAAATTATCGTTCTCAAATCTTTAAGACAATAGATAAGAAACGAATAATTTTCGAAAATGTGTTTTTCGAGCTTATACGTAGATGGAAGATATGATGAGTGGCTTAGAACACGTCATATTATCGAAGGCGGCGAGATTGTGCTATTATAATCCAGTTGAATATTCGGTGAGGCGATAATGCGTGTAAATACGCATCATCCGTTATAGGTACAACTATTTATAACTTAAGCGCACCTAACCTTATCAGTTATCAGCTATCACGGACAAGTTTACGATCGATGACGAAACCGGTAGATTTCGTTACGCATCTCGGTTCATGTTTGTGTATCTTTATACTTTTAAGGTTCCAGAAACCTAAACAACACCTTCTGTGGCGCAGATTATTATTATCGCCTTACAGAATTCAGCTGAGAAGTACCCGTTTTCAATAAGACGTGTTCAAAGCCACTCACCATAATACCTTTCCTTAACGAACTCGAAAAACACAAAACGAGATCTAAAATTCTATTCGCTCCTTATTCGTCTTCCATTTAAGAACGGTAATTTCTAAATCTTAAAAGTTAGCCGTCGGTTTGGCAATTGTTTCGTTCGACCTGTTCGGTGCCTAATGCCTATCCACTCTCTATAAAACCATGCTTAGATCGCAGCTAAAACACGTAAAAACAAATCACCTATAGTCAATTTAACTCCATACTGCGAATACAATATTGTATTGGTCAAATCAACTGCGTAGTCACATGTTACCTCATTTATGTCAACCACGATAAAACGTTGACCCGAGCGCACAGCGTCGAGAAATGATTTATATTCATAATAACACTCGAAATTAGTTACATTAGGAAGCTGTAGTTGTTCGATACCCATAATATAATACCGGAAGTTGAATTGACGAAATAGAGAATGTTGTAATCGTAATGCGAGTATCTAATCTTAATCACATTAAAGTTTAATTTATTTTTTAAAAGTAAGTTAATATTTTGATTGAAAAAAAATTATTATCAAGCACCACAACTCCATCAGTAACCGTAATTGGCAATCATTACTTATTAGTTATTATAGATTTAACTGTTTAAGTCGTTTACACGGGAAATTAAAGTTATCAACTATTATTTTAGTTATATTTATTTTATTGACCATAGATTATAGTTATAATTATTATTTTGAATTGAAATTAATTTTTAAAACTCAATATTTACAATATTACGAGAGTTAATCTTACTAAGATATATAATATATTTAAAAAATAGTACTTTGCTGTGATTGTTTCAACAACAAATTTGAAGCCATTTTAATAATTATGACGAATAGTCGCAAAATCAACACTCATTGAGTGGCAAGTCAAAATCGACGTTCAAACGTAATGGACTTAAACAAATACGTAACAACTACATTTGCAGCAGACAAAACTAGCGATTTATGTGAGTGCGAAGGGTTCATCCTGCAGGATCATAAATATCTGCATTCCGCAATCTCCGACGCGCGGTCCCTAACTAGTTGGAGACGCTGCTTGATGGGGCATACGTAAACTGCGCCCAAATGACCATTTTTTTTGTAATCTGCGCCCGAACTTTTATCTTAGTTGAAAAGGTATAGTGTAAACTGCGCCGGAAATGTTATCTATGTTAAAAAGGTATAATGTAAACTGCGCCCGACTTATTAACTTATTAAATTTTCACCTATCAAAGTCTCTATGTTTGACGATTGTGTACTTTTTCAAGTATATCACAGACATTTTATTTTCCAATTGATGAATATGTATCCACCGGATGTTACTATTTGTAATATTTATATGTAATTATTTTAATTTTTTTAATTATATTTTATTTTCAATTATTCAAATTATATGGCTGTAAGTTATTAAGTATTTTACCTGTAATTTTACCCGAGCGCACTTTACATGTCACCTTATTACTCTTGATAAAAACTCGGGCGCAGTTTACATGTGTGATTTTGTGTTTACCTGTATTTTGGGCGCAGTTTACAATCGCTTGATGTCATCGAAGGGCTAATAGTTGTTTAAACCGGTGTTGTACGATTGAGAACGTTTTACCTTTTTAGCAACACGATTGAGAACGATTTCAGCAGATCAAAGAAACAATATTTTGTACCTTAAAATCAAACGATTGAGAACGATATTTCTAGCGACGTTGCCATTTATCTTAACTTTTAGTAATAATTTTTAGGGCTGGGACTTTGATGCAAGGGATCTTTTTTTAGGGTTTTGAAACGTTGTTTTGTAAGTATAAAATGTGTAAACTGATTTTTTGTTGTATTTTTTTTTTTAAAAATGCATTTTTTGGGCATTTTTCACAATTTGTTTATAAAATGTACGACAATTCATGCGATTAACAAGAGACATTTGGCACACTGTCGACGGTTTTTAAGTATTAAAATTTTTTTAAGTTTTTAAAATTTAAATATGATTTTTTTGTTAACAATTTATTAAATGTTTAACTTTAATACCTAAGGATTGAAAATTTAAAACAAAATTCCATGTAAGTTTAATTTTGTTACCAAAATATAGTGATTGATATCTTATGTATATATATCGCGTATGTATTGTATTATTTTTATTTTTAATTAACGTGGCAACGTTGCCTAAAAGTTGGCACTTGGCAGGTAAGAAAGTTCTCAATCGTGCTATTTTAAAAAGGTACGGCCGACAATTAACGTCCTCAATCGTGTTCTACCCGTTTAAACGACTGACACATGTGATGCGTGGGCCGCCGTAAGAACTGACGGCCCGTTCTAGAGAAATTAAAAGATCAACGGCCTGCCATCGCTGGCGGACCGTCGTTCAGTTGGGCGTACTGCGGGCAGGAGGCGTCTATAAATGTTGTACGCAGCTTCGCGGGACCTTGCAGGACCCAAGCGGGACGACCGCTTGAATCGACGGGACGCGGTGTGGTCGGCGTCCCGGGTCACGGGTGGCCTGCCACTGCCTCCGTCTCCGGCGTCCCGGAACGTGAGGTGTTCGGAAGGACACCCGGCAAACGTATCCGTTCCGACGGCGTCGCGCGCGACCGACGGACGC